TTAACCTAACTTAATTGATAATAACCCAACTCATTCCCTATCTTATTGTATCTAAACATATTATAAAATTAAGTCATATGGTAAAAGTTTAGGAGACTTGCACGGCTGCCACTGGCCTTGCTCAGCATCCGCGCCTTTGTGCTGTGGCAAAGACCAAAAAGTCTCTGCCACATATTTTGCCAAGATAGAGCTTGTAGACTTTCATGGTAATTTATACAGTAAAAAAAGAAAAGAAAAAAATCCAAGGTCTCACTCTTGCCAGAATAGACCAGTTTATTTTAGCAAAAATAATAGAATTATAAATGTATTGGTCGTGTCCCTGTCCGTTACTGGAGTGAGATATAAACTGTGGCAGCTGAGGTTGGTCTGAGGGTTAGTGGTAATATAGGAAGTCCTGATTTTTTTTTTTTTTTTTTTTCAACATTGAGCCAAAAGGGAGGAAAATTCTCAATTTGACAATTTTTTACCTGATCTAAACACAAACTACCAAGGCTTAAACATAAAGATAAACCTACATTAAAGCTCTAAACTTGAACTCGAACATAAAGCTAAAGTTAGACCTAAAATTGTATCTGACTTTTCCTATAAGTGACGTGAATTCCTCAAGACTCAGGAAAGGAAGGTAATTGTTCAGAACCAGACTGTCAATTGCAGTGCCGTAACTTCTACAGATTTTTCTGATATATATTTGGCAAGTTTAGATTGGTAGATTTTGTACTCAATTGTTAGAAATTTCATAAGGTCTTTGCTAGAATATGTGCTAGAGGTCTTTTTGTTTGTTTTTGCTGGAGAGCCAAGTGCTGAATTTGTAGAATCATTGGACTCAGAAGTAGGAGCATAGACTATCAGTTCAAGTAAATAATAGTGGTGTTACCTTGACATATGACAGATTAAGTACTGTACCAATATATTGTTTCGTATTTTTTTTATGGCTATCTTCCTTTATTTTGGTGTGGTTAACTTCCTTTATTTTGGTGTGTTCTAAATGATGTTGGGAAAAAGTTATTTAATTAGGCCTAGTGTTATTTTCATGGTTTGCTCACCTCTATATTATAATGTAGGTAGTAGGAGGTACTGACAGGTACAGTAGGAAATTGATAGCTTTTGTATATTGTATAGTTTATTTATTGCTTATCCAAATATTCAGTATTACGCAGAATGGTAGCTCCAGAAATTATATTTTTATTAGTTGACTTTCCATATCGCAAAAACCTTTTAGTATCATTTTTCATTTGTTTTAAGACAAGATTATTAATATATACAGTCTGATATGTGAGTGGCTTTCATCAATCTGGATATTTTCTTTATTTTATTGATTACACTTGTAATTATGTGTGTAGGCAAACTTAAAGAAATGTTGATAATAATTTAATGGCTTCTAATTTACACATTTCCATTTGAAAAGTCATTGTGGAAAAGTTGCGTCAAGTCAGTAGTCAATATGGCATGCTCTTTATGAGTCCTAAAATTATAAACTGGCAGGATCTTGCAGGCAATAGAAACCAGACACTTCCAGGATGATATTACCTAAGCATGTAAAAAAAACTAGAGGCGTGCCATTAGAAGAGAGCATAAAATGGAAAGTCAGGAAAAGGTAAATAGTGATAAGCTGACCTAAACAGGGTTAGATGGTTGATAACTTATTTGTAAAGGATAATCTCCATACTTCCTGGAAAGACTAGCAAGCCTCCACCAAAAATATTCTTGCGAGATTTATATTTAACTTGTCACTAATTTGATGAGTAGATTGCCAGAGAGGTATACCGACTCTGTTTTGTAGGAAAGTACAAGGTGGTGACTTGTCGCCCGTTATGAAGCATGAAGGCTGCAGTATTCCTTCATGACTATATCTATGGATTTTAGTAAATGATTTGGTCATATCTTTAGCCTGTTTTGCATTGTTCTTTTCTTTTTCATTATCTGTATGGGTCGATTTTAGATAACTCTTGAGGAATGCTTTTTATAGAGGTGAGAAAATATAGATATTATAGGTTTACTGCATCCTGTAGTTTGTATATGTATTTGTATTTTTTTTTTTTTTTTTTTTTTCACTCATTTTATGTTTAGACTAGATCACTCTTTATCTAGTGTTGTATTACATTTAATATTAGCGCAGTCAGGCGCAACTTATCATGATATATTCTTTGTAATAGGAGATTGTATGAACACTATTTTATATATATACTAAATAGCATATTACCATGTATTTACCCTATATTGGCTAAATTACACTAGGTTTGCTGTATTTATGTTCCAGGAATTGGTAGCATTTTTAAAGGAAATTTAGATTTCTCGGTTAGAAAACTGTACATGTCATTAGGCAGTAGTTGCCATGATCATATGTGGCTGGATGTTACCCATAATGATATGGCGATGTGCTTGACTGTATTGCTAATATTTAGAGGTAATGGATTTTTTTTCTTCATATATCTGTGTATATATATTTTTAAATATTTGATACACTCATTACTAAAAGACATTTTATGATTTCACACCATTCTCTTGAAAAACAAAATCTGATGTAACACAGTGTATGAAGGTATAGACATACAAAATTTGGTATGATAGAATATAATATATCATTTGTTTTATTTTTATTTTTTATTATTATTTTTTTTTCTTTCTTTTTTTGACTTGTGCATTATGAGCATTTTCAACACAAAGAACAGAATTGTATGGTTTTTCAAATTGCACTCTTGTGAAAGCAAATATAAGGGCAGGATTGATAATTGATAAAATTTTGAATATTTCACATTATAAATTTCCAATAGGACCATACATTACTTTTTTATAATTTGCCTACATTGTTGCAATTACATTAATGGGGGACATTATGATTTAGAAATACTACAGAAGAACTTAGAAAAAATAAAAATGGCTTTGTCAGATTTAGATTTAAAAGTTATACCACTCTTAAACAGAAATAATTAAAATCAAGAATGAACTATATTTATTAATTATTGACAAGATTTATTCTCAGTCTTCAGTCTCAGACTATTTCCACTGTCATATAAAGAGGATAATTTATCTAATCTATCACAGACATACTCTTTTGAAATAATAAATGCAATATTTTTTCTTTTTAGCTTGTCAGTTGGTTTTTGTAAGTATTGATGTAGTCTCTAAATTTAAGAAACTTTTAAAGTTATGCTGCCCCTTCACAGCAACAGTTCTGACACTTTGTTGCAACTGCAAAGATAGCTTAACTAGTATCATTATTTAATTATGTTAATGAAACTATGAAAAGAGAAAGAAAGTTTGGATATAAAGCTTTAAGGTTATAAGAAGTCTATTGGGGATCTCTAAATTTATTTTTGTAGAAGTCTCAAGTATGAAGATGTAAAGTCAGTGAAGCATGTATAGTTGAACAGTATGTGAGTAATGTAATCAGAAATCTTTTTGACTCTCAATTCAATTAAAGTGCAGGGTACTGTGTTAGCGCATATGCTTTAATGATCATGATAGTAAAGAAAATTCTTGAGATATACTTTGAACATGGTCTTCCTTTCTGTAGTGAGCCTCTTGCTTCAGTTCACCCCCCTCCCCCTCCCACAGGACAAGTCTGGGGTGGGAAATAGGAATTCATTTTGGGTAGGGAGTAAGCAACTAAATTATTTGCCATAGAACTTATTATAATTAATTAATTAATCCAAGGAAGCCATGTTCCTGAGTTAAGGCATTGTCCTTAGTCTTCACGGAAACCCACACAGGGCTCGGCCATAAATGCTTATTTAGGCATCTTCTCATGGTAGCTAGTTATATGGTACAAGCTATTCGTAGTACCACCACAAAAGGAACAGAAATCATTTGCACCAACTTTTTGTGAAGATACAAAGGTGTTATGTATTATTTTCTGTGTGGACCATCCCTGGCTGGGAACAGGCCTTAATCCAGAGCTCCACTTAACATAATCTGTTGCTGTCTGATAACATACCTGTTGGACATCTATGAAAATAATGATCATTATTATCCATTATTTTCATGAAATATAGTCTGGTGTATTTAAGAGAATGTCTGCTCTTTTGGACAAATATGTCAAAGTCTTATGGATTTTTTTTAGAAATTATCAGAAAATAGGCATCAGACAATTGTATTATGCAAAAAAACAAAACAAACTTTTATAAGTAGCTGTTACTTGCTGGGAATTTCATTGGGATATCTGGTTATGTAGTTAGTTATCTTAGACAATGCCTAGGTTAGGCCAGGTTAGAAATATATATATTTGGCAATCATACCATAGTCTGTATGAGGAAGGATGTAAGAGCAGTAGATGTGTTGAATATATGTGGAAGAGAGAGAGAGAAAGAGAAAGAGAGAGAGAGAGAGATGAAAAGCACAAATGCATGTTATTGTTTTGTGATTGCCTGACTGACAACTTATGCTTGTGCCTGGTTATTGTATGAATAGTAAATTAAGTCATTGTTATTTTTGTAATAGCTTCTCCCTTTTTATAATGCTGACAAAGACACAGTCCTTTTGCATTTCTTTGTGTTTTTATTGTATATACTTTTTTCTCTTCCTGATGTACTAATGATGAAATGTGGAATGTGACCCTATTCTTCCGAGACCAATATTTTAGCTGGCTGCAGAGTGCTGTTTGCATAGAGATCCAGTGAAATTTGTTTTGTATGCAATTGCTTATTGCTACTTTTATCTTATAATATAGATAGAATGCTTCTGTTTCGTTCCATTAATGATTTGGAAACCCAAGTCCATTCAACCCATTCACAACACGAGGCATAAATTTGATTACAAGGTAAGATAGATAGAGATTAGTGACTTGTTGTTAAGTTCATAGCAACCCTTTTAGTGAAGACTGGTTTTTTGAATTGGATGTTTTTGCACACTGGCAGTGGCACAGGTTGGTAAGGTTGAACAAGCCATTACAACACCCAGGTTGGTTGATTTGAGTTTGAGCGTGTTTTGATATGGCCTCTCTTTTTTCAGACATATTTATGTGATGAGTCACTCAACCAATTTTAGAATGGAGGAAGTGCATGAGAATGTCTCCATGTTTTCACATGTTGGCACATTTTTGAAGCACCTTGCTTTGGAGAAAAAGTAACAACATAGAAGTGATCATTGGGGGGTTTATTGAAAAATAAAGTAGAGGGACTAGGTCACTGGAAACTGCAGACAACAATGTCAACTGTCAACTGAAAAGTTACTGACTGAGGTCACTCTGCTTTCCATTGTTTATATAGGGTAGTTAAATGAAAAGTATTCAGAACAAATTAAGGAGTCACCATCACCAGCAAGTGATACCATGGCATTAAATCCTACAATGTTGTACAACATGAAACTCCTATTTTTGTCTCATTGTAATAAAGATTTAAACAATTCAGTTACATATATATTGAAAATGATGTAAATACTCACTGTTATTACATATTTGTTGCATATAACTTAAGGTGTGAGGTTGACAGAGCCATATACATGTCAATGAGTGCTTGGGAAGACTAGAGCTTAGCAGATTGTATGGGCAAGCTGCTACTAGAAATAATACATGTATTAAGAGAAAAAATGCATTTGATTAAAACAAATATGGTCCAGAAACTTGGCAAATGATGATATATAGACTAATAACTTTTTATGGTTAAAGTACATTTTTTGCCTTGCACTTTCCAGGAGACAGAATGTTGTTTACTAGTCATTCTTGACCACTAGATGCCTCCTTCTAGTGATATAGGTGTATTGAGATGGAGTGAGCTGTTGCTTGAAAGGCCCATCATGTAAATATGTCAATGTTTTGTTTGATTAGGTCAGGTAAGGGTATGAAGTGTAAAATGATCCAGGTATATTGAATCTATGTACATTTCTAATTCTTCTATCCACCCCTACCCTCCTGTCTCCTATGCATTACCTTTCCCTCATTCCCAAAGTCTGTTTTTTTTTTTTATATCATTCTCCCACTCCCTCTTTCTTTTTTTTATCCCACACTCATGCCTCCCCCTCTCCTGCTCATCCCAATATTCCCTTCCATCCACGGCTTTCCCTCAACCTGCTTCCTTTTCTCCATCCTTCCTTCCCTCCTTCCTTTCTTCTTTCCTTCCTTCCTTCATTCCTCTCCTTTCCTCCCTCCCTTTTTCTCATCCTCCCTCATCCTCCCCTTTACCTCTGCCTCTACTTCTCTTTCTATCCCTCCTTCCTTCCTCTTTTCTCTGTCCCCGTCCCAAATTCTCTGCATCACCCTCTCCTTCTCCTTTTTCCCTTTCACTCTCCCTCTCCTCATCCCAATGCCTGTCCCTCTCTCCCTCATTCTCTCTTTCCTTCTCATATTCTCTTTCCCCTTTCATTTGACAAGGGTGCCACATCCATCAGTTTGTATTTATATAATGTGCCATTGCCAGCATCTAAAACCCCTGCCAGTATTGTACACCTTTAGTACACCTTGCTTTTTATATGCCTGTGCAAGTTACTCTTTTTTATATGAATATCTATTGATGTTTTTCTTTAATGGAATATGATGAATTCTTTTTTGATTGGAGGTTATGGTGAAATAGAGATCAGAAAGTGTCTGGACCCTTCTGTGTCATTGTTTTGGTCACTTGCCATGATTAAGATTGTGTTCTTTGCAGGTTAATATTATCAGGTGTATTTCAGGTAAAAAGAAATAAACATTTAATTACAAGACAAAATTTTTTTGGCACAATTTTCTGAATTTTGTTTGCCTGCATAAATGTGTGTTTTTAGAAAGGAATACATTATAGTCTTGCTACTGTCTTTCTATTTTTAAAAAAATATCAGCAAAGCCAAGATTCCAGGCATTATTATAGTTTCGAGGCCAGGCCAGTTTTTTTTTTCTTCTTCTTCTTTTGTTTCATTGGTTCTCTGGAGATAGAGTCAATAGCGAATTGCAGTGGCACAATGTGAGTGGGGCCACAGGGGTTATTTCCCTGAGCACAAGATTCTTAGGGGTGCAAAATTTCAAAGATGGGAAAATAAAGTTCTGTTAATATGCAAAAATAGACACCCTCTCCCTTATACATAGAAAATCTCTCAGTATTTGAATATTTTACAGATTTTCTTTATGAAGCGATAATTAAACATTGCCTTGCATTATTGTTAAATGAGAAACTTCAAATACAAATGTATGTTGTTGTTGGACTTCTGTTTGTTAAATATTGTTTGACTTGGAATATGGTGTGCATATATTATATATTAAGAAGATGATGTATGGGAATACGTTGTGTTGAATCTTATAAACATTTACCTCATGAGACATATTTGATAATGTAATTTTGAGATAGTGTAGTAATAGATTGTTGATTGCTTTCTTGTTACTACAGTTAAATGAAAGCAAATTCATTGATTAGGGACTCAAAGTTGGTCTTGATTGGTAATAAGGGAGGGCAATTGTTGAATTAAAGGCTGCTATGCAGTCATATATTGATGAGAGACTGTAAGTGTTTTTTCTCATTCCTGTTTGCAGTTAATATTTCAAAGCGGATTTCAGCTTTACACGATATACCCCAGGTGAACTTGATTGCTCTTGGCACTTTGGGTGATGTAGAAAACATTAATCAAAAGTTTATTCAGGTGTTTGTAGAAATTAGAAACTGAGTAGCTAATGTTGATATGGAGGAAAGTTACTTAATAAACAAGTACCCACCTACCTCAGGTAGCTGTTACAGATAGGTTGTGGGAATTTACTGTCTGCTGGAAAAAAACAGGCTTGAGTTTATTGATAAGCTAAGTGCTATAAAGACAAGTTATGATTTGAAAACCATTAATGTTTCTTGTTATCATAGTTACTAGCTCCACTGTTGCAAAAGTGGTACCTTGCCGTTCATTTTAAAGATCCTCATGCAGTGGGTCCAAATATTTCATGGTGTTCTTGTTTGTTTTGTTTATTATTGTATTTTGGTGTTTGGATGATAGTAGTGAAGAAAACAGTAGAAGGGAAGAAAATTAGTAAAAGTGAATAAAGATAAAGAAAAATCAAGATTATGAGATTGAAAGAAAGGTCAAAGAGAGAGAGAGAAAGGAAGAGGGAAAGGATTATGTTGAAAAGGAAGTCAATTAATTATCACTTTTTATCTTGATCAAGAGAGTAAAGAAAGAAGAACCAAGAGTATGAGATATGCTATGTAGCTCCGTTTCTTCATTTTGATATTTTTTCCTTTCTTTTTTTCTCTTGTTTCTTTGCAGAAGTGAATACAGGTTTCTATAAACTGGTATATATCAAGATGATAAGATAATGCAAGTGGTTTTGAATAGAAATACCAGCAAAATTGGAGTAAGGGATATAATGATTTTTTGTTTTGTTGCAGATTGAAGAGCCAAAGCACAAAGCGATTTATATTGAAAGCTCTCTCTCCATTCGAGACACACCAAGACCATTGTTTTTTAACCTTTTCTTAGCCACAGTGTCTTTCCATGTTGCAGGAGAGAGTGAGGATGGGCAGCGTTTGAGGTTCCAGATCGAACTGGAGTTTGTCCAGTGTCTGGCTAACCCCAACTACCTGCTCTGTAAGTAACTGGGCCTTGAATCTTTGTGCCTTTGATAAAATAACTTTTTTTTTTTTTTTTTTTTTCATCTTTTATCTTTTTCTTTTACTTCTTAAATTTAAATAAAAGCTGCACTTTGTCAGAAATACTGCTGTCTCCTAAATTTCCAGATTTTTTTTATTCTCTAGAGATTTTTTTTTTTTTTTTTTTTTTTTTTTTTTAAAGTAATCCTTCAAGAAATATTGATGATTTGTATACTATAGATTTAAGAATAAACCTGATTATTAGTTCATGTTAATTTTTGAGAATACACAAACATTAATTGACTCAAAGACTTCTGAGCATGGTTATGAATAATCTTTTTTATAGATATTATGCAAATTCTTAGGTTACGCTCTTGTCTTTTAATCAAGCATCCCGGATATTAGATAACTCAACTCTTACCCCTATTAGGAAAGTGTAATACCCCCAACTCATACCCTATTAGGAAATGGAATGAAGTAATACCCCCAACTCTTATCATTTTAAGGAAATGGAGGGAAATAATACCTCCAAATTTTACTCCTATTAGGAAATGGAATGAAGTAATACCCCCAACGTGTACCCCTATAAAGGAGTGAAGTAATACCTCCCTTCTCTTTCAGTCCTGGCACAGCGTGGTTACTTCAAGGACCAGACCTTTATCAACTACCTCAAGTATCTTCAGTACTGGAAGGAGCCTGAATATGCAAAGTACTTGAAGTAAGTGTCAATTCATTCAAGTGTCAATTCATTCATTTTTACGTATGTATGTATTATTATTGATTTATTATTATTTTTCAAAAATTATTATTATTATTATTTAGGATCTCGTTGCGATGATTTAAAATTGCTGATACTATACCTTGATTTTTATTATTGTTATTATTATTATATTATATATTGTTGTTTTGCTAGTCTATTTACAGTTTGGAAAGGATTAGATTCATGTAAATATCAAATAATCTTCTGTTAATTTTGTTAATAAGAGATCAGTTATAACATTTGTAGAAAAAAAGGCTGCAAAGCAACTGATTGATTTTTCTATTGCTTTTTATTTTTCTTTCTTTTTTATGATTGTGGATTTGTATGTGCTTTATGCAGTTTCTGACTGCAGTAGGAAAATTGTTATTTTATTCAGTTGTAGATTTTTGTACACTAAAGTTGATATTGTTCAGTGAGTAGTTTCGCCGTGATTTTATTTGAGGGGCTTACCTTTTTATTATTCTTTTGCAGATACCCTGTGTGCCTTTATTTCTTGGACCTTTTGCAGCACGAAAACTTCAGGAAGGAGATTGTCAACGGTCAATGTGCCAAATTCATTGACGACCAAACTGTGTTACACTGGCAACACTACACAAGGAAGCGCATGAAACTTCTTGAAACTGGCTTCAATCAACAGGGTTCGCACACTCCAGTTTCCCAGACAACTGCCGTTTCAGGAGCACAGCCACAGGCTACTATGCCCACCAGTCTTATTAATGGTCATGGGCAGATCCAGAAAGTGTGAAGAGGAAAAGCCATTGCTGGTCTGAGGGTTTTAAGATAACTTGAGCAGGGAAATAATATTTAGGAAAGTCTTTGAATAAGTGAAAATCAGTGTTCTTCAGAGGGTTATAATTTCGCCAACATGGGAGACCGCGTTGTTCTCAGCTACCACGACTGTCTTATCATGGAGTCAGATTTGCGGTTGTTAGAGGGTCGCAATTGGTTGAACGACTCACTCATTTCCTTTTGGTTCGAGCACCTTCAGCATGAGGTCTTCCGAGGAAATTCCCGTCTTCTGTTTATCAGCCCGGAGGTTACCCAGCTGATTAAAATGGGAGATCCTAATGAATTGCCAATTTTTCTTGATCCCCTTGATGCAAAGTACAAGGAATATATATTTCTTCCTGTGAATGACAACTCGTCTGTGATTGCACCTGGGGGCAGTCACTGGAGTCTCTTAATTTACAGTAAATATGACAGCAAGTGGTATCATTACGACTCTCAAAGGGGCTGCAACTACCGCGATGCTCGTTGCCTTGTACAAAGGATTAACTCGTACTTGGACAGGGATATACCAGCTACCCTAGTGGATGCTAGTTGCACACAGCAGGATAATAGCTATGACTGTGGGGCCTTTGTCATGACGTATGCACACAGAGCGGCTGAGCAGGCCTTGAAGGGTTCTGCCATCGGGACGTGCTTTGTGGACAGACAAGAAACAAATCGCATGAGAGATTTGATTAAGTCTCTTGTTTACAGCCTGAAGCGGTGAAGATGAGAAGGGAAGAAATCAACACACCTCCTGCCTTGTTCCTTGACTGCCGTATAAACCGTCAAATTATATACTAGGCACACTTTAGCCTAACATGTGTTGAAGCTCCTAGTGATGCTACGTGTCAGATGTTGCTTGTCATGAGCAAGACTCGGCCAGGGTCTGCAGTGTGCTGCTTGTTCCTGATTGCTGTGGCATTATTTTTTTTGTTGATTTTGGAGTGACAAGCAGTCCCTTTTGAGTTGCAGAATACCTAACTTCAACATGTTCTAAGCCCATTTATGCTTCATTATTAATGGAGATACTTACCTCAGGTTATTTTATTAGATGGTTTTTTGCTCTTGCACTGAAAAAAGGAACAGGAACTATTTTAGAGACTAATAGTCTGCTAAATGTTAGTTGATTAACTGCTACTGAGTTTGCAATGATGAATAAAAAGGTGCATAGATAATTAGGTTATGATTATCCTATTTAACAGTCTTCTTTTCAAGAAAATAGGATATGGAAGAAAAATGAAAAGAACTTATGCCAAAGAAGGAGATTGGATATTTGTGACTTCATATGTAACCTATTAGATTCAAGATACTGGCACACAACTCTACTGACCTCATAACTGACATCCAGTTGTCCCAGGCTGCAGTAAATGTTATGACATAGCATGTCAGAGTCATATATTGAAGCTATGCTGTTTGTCTACATCTTGAAGGTAACACAAAAAAAAAATTTCTGGAACTTTTTTGCCATACAGGCACCACGAGGCTAACCAGATTTCTCAGGTGCACAATTTTTGGTTAAAGACCCAGAATTACACATACCTTGTATGAAAGCATTGTTGTGAAATCCATTGATGTTTTACATATTATTTGGCGATCATGTGCCGACTAGTATTCAACCTATTGGTCATTGTTCATTTGCCTGAAAAGTCATATATTCAGATTGCAACTGATTTTGTGAAGCACTTTCATATTTTTCTCTTGGGTAGCAAAGGAAACAGAACTTGATAAATTGTAAGTTGAGACCACGTCTTGATAACATAATTATGTGAATGAATCAAAAATACCCTTACAAAATAACAAGTAACCTTAGTGCTAAATTTTTCTTGCATATATTTTTGTCTTAGTTGTCAGTTCATTAGAGTGAGTGCATTTTTTTTTCTTTTTTTTTAATACTTAGAAGTCAGAAATGATCTGTGTTAGATTTAAAGTGAGAAGAAAAGTCCAGTATTCAGGAAGTGCAAATGGCTAAATTATATATAAGATATACATATATATGAAAATAACTCTTATTATGGTTTTCATTTGTTATATACTTTCAAATAGTGTAAATGTATTAATTGAAAAATGCAACAAACTGGTGAGTCTCATGGAAATCTTAACAGGTCTGATTCCTGATTGTAATTATATGCATGATTTATATTATTCCAAGTGGTATTGCATGTAACAAACAGCACAAAGTGCAAATTTGATTTCTTTCACTAAAGCTAATTAAGTGAAGTAAAAAATGCTTTACCTGATTTATTTTTAAATGTATAAGTAATAGAAGAAGTGGTGAAATATACTAGAAGATATTGCACTACAATAACTGGCTGAATATAGATTTGATAAAAGGAAGGGCAGTGAGAAAGGACAATGTAACTCGGAACAAAAAGTTTTTAAAATTGATTTTTTTTTTTTCTCAAATGCAATAGTACTTGAAATAGAAAATTAAGGTTGATAAATATATTTAAATATTTACTGTAATATTTAAAAAAATACATTGTCTTTACCAGGAATTGTTAGCGTTTTTTTCTCCCCATATACCGACTTATTTTTCAATTTACTATTCCCACTCCTCCTCCTCCTCTTCTTTGTCTCTTTCTTCGTTATATTTTTCTTTTCCTATCTCCTGTTTTCCTTTTCCTTTTTCTCTTCTTTCATGTCTCTTTCTTTATCATACTTTTCTCCTCTTATCTCGTTTACTTTTTTTCTTTTCTCTCTTTCTCTTCGTCCTATCTTTCATCTTTTTATTTTTCTCCTCTCCTCATCTTCCTTTTTCCTACTCTTTTTTCCTCTGCCTTTAACTCCTCTCTTTCTTCTCTATAGTTTTCTGCTCTTTTCACCTCCTTTTACTTCTTTATTTTTCTCGTCCTCTTTCCTTTCTTCATGAAATATTTCTTTTCTTATCTCCTTTTTCCCGAATTCTCTTTCTTCCCTTTCCTTTAACTTGTCTCTTTTCTCGTTAATTTTTTCTCTTCTCATCTCCCCATCTTTTACTTTTTCTCTTTTTTCCTCTCTTTTATCTTTATATTTTACTCCTCATCTCAACTCCCCTTTTCCTATTTTTTTTCTCTTTTTCCTTCTCTTCTTCGTTATACTTTTCTCCTCTTCTCATCTCCCCTTATTCTACTTTTCTTTTTTCTTATTCCTCTTCCATCTCTCTTTCTTTATATTTTTCTCCTCATTTTATTTCCCTCCTACTTCTATTTTTCTTTTCTTCCTCCTTTCTTTTGTTGTAAAACTTCTTGTCTCATCTCCCCTTCTACATTTTTTTTCTTCCTCTTCCACCTTTGCTAGTCCACATCGTCCTCCTCCTCCTCCTCCTGCTCCTATGCTCCTCTTGTTTATAAGACACCCATGATCTGTACAATTACGTGTGTCTGACCTTCAAAGGAATCAAAAATGTTTTCATCTCCCTACCTAATCCCATGTTCGTTTTCGTCGTGGGAAGCCTTAGAAAACGGAGACAGGCCCAATGTGTGGGATCGCCCCTGCCTTTGCACTTTGGCCCTTGCTTCAACTAATTTTGTATGGTCTTTTCTTCTCCTTTCCTTTGTCTCCTCTTCTTCATCCCCTTCTGTCCACATTGTGAGGTGTGAGAGCCGTGCAGAAAGGATGAAAGACTGGCTTTGTAAGTCCTGAACGGCCTTCTTACTCCGTTTGCTGTTCCCTCTTTAACCTTTTCGCTACCATACTAACCAACAACGCTCTATAACCTTTATCTCACATATTTTGATCTAGTTAACTCATTTTAACCTTTTTGACACAATGCCTTATCATAAAGCTGTATTATCTTTTGTTACATTGAGACTTTGCCCCCAATCCAAGCCCTAGTGCTATGTATTGTATACGCGACAGAACATTTTCAATAAATAAATGAAAGTCTACATATATCTCTGGTATTGGGGTGGCATAGCTAGGTTTGGATTATAATGAAACTCGCTGAGTATTAGCTTGTACAGTGGAAAATGGACACGGATTCTGAAATGTTCCCTCAAAGAGTTCATGTAAATCAGTAATAGATAGTTTGTCTTCGCTAACAATCTGTAAGACGCATGAGATATTGCAAGTGAAAAACAATGGTGAAAGGTGTAATAATATCAGAAACTTATCGAAGAGTAGACCGATAATTATTGAAATAATTGCAATCTAACTTAATCTATAATGATTTATTTATCCTGTGTCCTCTTACTGAATAGCAAGAAAATAATTACTGAAATAATATTTGCAATTTAAGATCAACAACAATTTTATCTATTCTTTGTTGTCTTCGTAGTCCTCCTTTTCAATTTCTTTTGCCCTTTTTCCTTCTTGCTGCCAATTTCTTTTCACTATACTCATTCTCCTGTTCTTTCTCTATCTCCAGCCTTCATATTTCGCCTTTATCTCTTCCTCTCGTTTACTCATTTTCCTTCGCTCTCCCTTCTGCCTTTGGCCTCCCTTTCCTCTCCCTCTTCATTCCCTCCTCCTTCTTCTTTCTTTCTTTTTTCATTCTTTTCTCTTAACTTTCTTCTTTCTCTTCCTCTTTTCTTTTCTTTCTTTTTACTTTTCTTTTTCTCCTCTTCCTCTGCTTCTTCTTCTGCTACTTCTTTCTTTTCTATTTTTACTTTTTTTTTCTTTTTCCTTTTTCGTTTCCTTTTCTGTTTCTCCTCTTCCTCCTCTTCTTCCTTTCCTTTTATTTTTTATTTTTTTTCTCTTTTCTTTTCCCTTTCCTTTTTCGTTCCTTTTCCTTTTCTTTTTTCTCTACTTTCCTCTTCTTCTTCGTTTTTTTTTTTCCTTGTCCTTTTTCTTTTCCCTTCCATTTTCCTCTTTTTCCTTCTTTTCTCCTCCTCCTTACTCAACCATTTCCACAACTCCCTTTTCCTCCCCTTCCACCTCCACCACCTCAACTTCTTCTTCACCTCCATCTCCTTGCACATTTTCATAGCCTTTATTTTTCCCTCCCTTTTCGCTGACCTCTTTCTCCTAATACTTATTTTTTCCTTTCTGTCCTTCTACCCCCCTTTTCCTCTTCGT